CTGCCATCCGCGCCGTCTCCTCGTCTCCCCGCCCACTCCCGGCCCCGCCTCCGCCCGCCGCGTCCTCCCGGGCTCGGTGAGGAACTGTTCCCGGAGGAGCCGCGGGACGCCGAAACCAGCCAATGGGAAGCGGGTAGTGGCGGAGATTGGCACCGAGGATGGGAAGGTCGGTGGGAAGGAGAGCGGCGGGGCCGGGCTGTCAATCAAAGTAACGTGGGGCAGGCGAGGGAGCGCGCGGGCGGGCGGACGGGCGCGCGCGCGGGCGGGCGGGACCGGCGAGCGTGCTGCCGCCGGGGCTTGGGGGCTCGAGTTTGCAAAATTCCTGCTACTTGTTCACTTTTCCCTTTCTTGAAAATCCTCCGATATCGGTGAAAGTAACTCACAGACTAACCGCGCAGCTTTTTATCGGGTGGGGGACTTTTGGTGAATTCGAACAACTGTGTTTTTCTGTGCTGGCCCCCCGTTTGATGCTACTTTTTGAAAGTGAGGCCACACTGAAAATTGTATCAGAGGTTTGTTTTTACTTGGGCTGCCTTTTTACAGATGCTCGAGGAGTGGACTGTGCACTTGGTAGAAAATTCGTAAATGAGCAACGCATTGGCTGGCGCACGTACACACCAGCCGCGTAAGACTTGCCTGTAATGCCTGCCTACCCCGCCCCCGTCCTTGCACCCAAGATGGGAGGATTTGGTTTTTATTGGAGGATTTCAAGCCACTTTTCCAAAAAGTAGTCAGTCCCGCCTTGGTTTGGCGGGAAGGTTCCCCAGGGTGTCGCCAGAATAAGGCACGCGTGCCCCAGGCGCAGATGAGATGCTTGTACCGCGGCAAAATCTTGGGTCCTTGTCTTTAAAGAGTCTTGACTTAGCTATATTGAGAGAGGAGGGGGCTGACAGATCTTTAGGAGCCTCTCCGCCACAACACCCTAAGTCTGTTTCCAATTCCTGTGAACAAAGACAGTGGAATAAACCAGCGTTGAGACCTGAAAAACCTGTCCCGTCCTCCCCACCCCCATATTCTGGGTGGTACTCCTGGGCTGAGCTGAGCGAAATGGGAAGAGTTGGGTAAATGGCGTGGCTAAGGTTCTTATGAAGTGGAACATGAGTAAAAAGGGAATTTAAGATTTTTAAATACACAAGACATGCCGCATAATTAATATTGAGCGTCTCCAGTTTGGGGATCTTAATACACCCACAGCAGAAAACTTCCAGTATTGCCGTATTTATACGTTTGTTTGAAGAACAGGTCAATGGAGCTACTTCCTTATGAGCAGTGAGGGAATAATGCTGTTTTAGCCAAGTGGTGGTAACTTCTTGGACACATCTTGGACATCTTGGACAAGCATTCATTTGTCTTCTGTTGGGAACTAGTTAACGAGTTTTTGGTATTGGTAACCCCCACATTCCCATTATTTTACCTTCAAGAGACTTGTGGGAAGGAGTTTATCTAAACAGACATTTTATTTGAAGATTTGCTTTTCCAGAGATCTTTTTCTTGAAATTAAAAAAAAAAATCATTTTAGATCATACATTTCACTGTTGGCATTGCTTTTAAATATATATGATATTGATTTGTCTATAATTGCATCAATTATAAATGAACAATAAAAAAGCGATTTTAGCCAGTCTGCACAAGGCCATAGTAAATTCTTAAACATGTTGGGCGTTGTAGCTTTACGGTGTTTCATCAAGTGAAGTTGGGAAAGGAGTTATATGATTCATTTTGCTAACATGGAAATAAAAAGAAAAGAAGCACTGCCTGTCTTTCCTTGGTTAAATTTGGGAATGATGAGAGTGGGCTTGCTCCAACATACAGGACTTTTTGAAATCGTATGACTCACAAACTTTATCTTTTGACAACCTGTGTTCCTTGAAAACATCATCGAGTGACTGAGCCGCAAACACCAGTCTGTGGTGAGCTCATGTCATAATCAGCCCCAGAACCAGAACCCAAGGTGGAGTGTTTGGATGTCACAAGTATGCTTGTGTACATATTGGGACAACTAGGGCAACTGAGACTTCTCCCTGGTTTACCCAAGCTTTACCTTATGCCTGTACCTTGACTACACGCTTGTAGTTCGGTTTAAACAAAGCAATTAAAACCTTGTGCTGTAGGCCAGGAGCAAAAGGATTGCTACTTCTCCTTTCCCCACCCTACTCCTCTTAAAATAAGTTTTAATGCACTTTCTTTCAATGTTGTCTAATATACCTTCACAGAAAATGTGTCCACTCACCACAGTTTCCAGTTTGCCATGAGTAAAAACTGGAAATTCTCTTGTAACTAGTGCTTCCTTACAATAGAGTTTGAAACACCAGGCCTTCTGATTTCCTTATACAGTAGAATCTGCAGAAAAGAACAAACATAATGATTTTAAAATTGGAAGGCCTTTAATTGTGCACATAAAGATGGCTGGTTTTCGGTTTTCGAAGCTCTCCCTTCGGAGTATCCTCCGTGAGAGTGGGAGAAGACTGCGTCCTTTTTCAAGGTCACGTTTTCTCCGTGATTGTCATGCTGTAATAATTATACTACAAAACTCTCATCAAACTGCATTACAAATGATGGTGTTTAAACAATCAAGTAGCTTTAATCTTATGTTTTAAATAAATAATATATGTGCAGATTGCCTACAGCTTGTTTAAAAGAAAATAGTCCTACTCATGAAATCTATAATTTTGGTCTTCTATTTAAAGTCTATTAACCATAATCTTCTTTACCTTTAACATATTCATATGTCAATGATGTTTTTACATGAAATAATATTAAGGATGCTGATTCCATAGGAAGTTGTCTCTGGGGGAAAAAAGCACCCTTTTTATCCTCTGCAAAAGAAACAAAAAGATTGTCAGCTTGTTTATCTTGATGCATATATGGGTATGTTTCCATTCATTTGTTGCTGATTATCAAATTTTCAACCCACCGATAACATAAATAATTACAAAAACTAGATGTTATATAGCATAGATACTAGGCAAAACAGGAAAATGTATGGACACTGATCATAGAAATTATACATCTTTTAAATCTATTATTTTTTATTTGAAATAAATAATTGTGACAATTTTTAAAAGACCACTTGTTATTTTCTCTTCCTTTTGGTTGAGAGTCATTGCTCACACATTTCCTTATTTGACTTTTTTTTTTTTAACTGAGGGTTTTCTTAAACCTAAGAATGTAGGATGCAGAATCATTTTGCCCAGCATTGCTTTATAACCTACTTCTCCCCCATACCTTTACCAAAGAAAAGGGTGGGGTGGTCGTGGAGGTGGACTAGAGAAGGCAAAGAAGGGAAAAAAAAATCAGTAGCAGATCCAAGCAGCAGTAAAACCTCAAATAAAATCACATCCAAAGAATCTCTTGCGGTTTCACACAATATGGTAAAATTAGAGATTGCAGGAAACCAACTAAATTAAACTGGGAGCATTTGAAGAGAAACGAGCAGACTTTATGAAAACGACACATTGACTGACCAGTCTGCTTTTTTATCAACAATTTCTTTGTTAAGACGCAGATCAAAGGAACCTGCATATGTTTTCATTTTGTTCTAACTAGAAAATTACATCCAGATGTTTAATAGGCATTTGGTTGGTTTTTCAGCATTGATTAGATATGTTGGTTCTGTTTGCTTACAAGTGCAACCGGATCATTAGCTAATGCAAAGAAATGTTTGCTGTGAGTTGCTAATTAGGGCTTTTGGAAACCCTCCATGCTCAAGAACAATTTGTACCGTGGCCAGAAGAACTGGTGGGACTTGGGGAAGTTGTTTTCCCTTCTGGATCAGGGTGGGGAGAAGCAGACAGCCCAGTTGCCTAATCTCCCTTTGCCTAGGGGGATTGCGATGAGATCCCCAAGGATTGGAGTGCAAATAAATTAGGAGGAGACCACACAGGCACTCCCAAACAGAGCGATAAATGTGCTCTTTCTGGATCCACCACTACGCAGTCTTTGGGGTGGGGGCGGGGGGAGTGAACATCTAAAAGGCTTGAATATTAACATGTGGAAGATGCTTGGTGCTAATGTTATCAAATACACAGCATTTTTAAGTATACTTTAGAGACAGATGGGAAAGCCCTTTATGATAAACGAGTGTACTTGAATTCATTACTGTAGTACTTATAATTAAAAATGTCTCCTTTGCAATTGCAGTACTTTCACTGGGTGCAAGAGACCAAGTTTGGGAGCTAGATGACTGGAGATAGTGAAAGGAGTGAGGGAGAGGAATTTTGGAAGCTAGGATGAGCCTGGGAAGAAATGCAGTGTTTACTTTCACAGCCCACCAATTTGTTTACCTTGTTAAAGCCCCCAAACTTGTAGAAGATTAGCCATTCATTCAGTATTCAAATAAACTGTTTGAGAATTTAAGGCACCAGGCGGATAAACTTCTTAGCCCACCAATCACGTTTTTAAAAATGCTTGACTGTGTCTGAGGCCTGCAGTAGAACACCACCTCGGCCAGGGCCGAACTTTTGTTTATTTAAGTCTGTATTTCCAGAACGTTATCAGTCTCAAATAGCATGTGTTTATAAACAACCCTAGCAGTGCAGATATAAATGCCATTGTAGCATGTTCTACTGCATATTAATGGCCCTTCTAAGCCTTGTTTACATCTGATGTACATGCAAGGCACACTCCTTTGTGTTAATGTAGTCTGATTAATTCGGGATTTGCACACCAACAGAATAGGTTCATGATTAGTTTCTCTGAAATTGTTCAAGCAGAGGACCATTCTGTCAGTGCTTTCTCCATCCACCAGCGAGATGCCCTGGAAAGGCATGGACAGTATTAGGGGGCTTGATTAAATACTACCTGGAGTTCAGACTGTGATAATGGGTCTCAGGGAAATCCCCCCCCCACCAAGATCTGGTAAAAGTAGGGATAATACACTTTTTAAAAATTCTTTCCGTTTGGCCATGTAGCTCAACTGCAGCTGAAGGGCATTTGGTAGACAAAAGAAAAAAGTAAAGGAAGCATGTTGGATGCTCCCTCCTACATATTCACAGAACAAGAGCAGACCTTGGTCCCTTCAAGTTCTCTGCTTGACCTACCTTTGCTGCAGGCCAAGGACTTGCTAGGAAATCAACATCAAGTCAAGGCATTTTCCTTTTGCTTTAAAAGCTTTTGCTTTGGCAGTATCATTTAAATAACATTTCTTCCTTGAAGCTAGCTCTACCT